TAGAAATAATTTATCACTTATTCTTTTTTATTTTACACTTACGCATGTTAGTACCGTAATAAATTAAATTTTTTATGTTGCTCTGAAAGCCGTGACAACTAAAATTATATAAGACTCATTGTTTCTTAACAATCGATGTAGTTGCTGGAATGCTAAACGATCACCATGTTATTCTACACGCTCAATGTATTTAGTCTTGCACTATTTGGATTAGCCTCAGCCGCATTAAAAACTAATATTCGTAAGTCTTCTTTAATAAATCTTTGTTCCTTATTTCCTTTTTAAGCATTTGAAAAGTACAAAGCGGTATGATCGCGTTTCTCTTATTATGCCAAAAAATACCAAGCTGTACGGTCGCGTTCTTTCTCACATTCACAACACATCGCTATTCCGTTAATTATTATGTTATAATATTTAACATGCCTAAATCAGTTTAAGTTTATTAAATGCTTTCCAAATATTAACGCGCTATAAAATTGTTGAATTTATTGAATCTGTGCAAGCATTACAATCGCGGCTAATTAAATAGTTAATAATGTTGTCACACGTCAACGCCTAAACCTCAATACGTTGTTAGGTTTGCATAAAATTATTTATATCAATGTGGAGTGGACATAAAAATGTCAACAAATAAGAGATATATGATATATTTTTGAAATACTGTATACATAAATATAATTCTATCCTAATATAGAATTCTAATTATAAAACCATATTATCAGTTACCTATCCAATCACTTAAGCTGAAATATTTAAATATTGTAATGATTACTCTTCAATATTCGTTAATCGTTTTTATTATAAAAAGACACTTCCTTGTATTAGACGATTATTTTGTGATTTTCTATGCAAATAATGTTCTTATTTACATTTATAAGTAATAATTCTTAAGTGTACAAGTATAAATTGCAAGTATTATGAATTATAAATTATAAATCATAACAATATTATTTATTAGAAAGAAAATACTGAAAAAAGTCTTTTCGTGTTTACGATATAAATATAATTAATACATATTTAATAACTTATATGTACTTATAAAAAAATAGTTAACAATAAAATAGTTAATATTTAATTTTTAAATTATATTTTGAATATATTTGAAACAATGCATTTTATGTATTTTTATAGTTTTATTACTAATTTATATTTTATTCTTTTGCACTTCTATTCAGCTGTAATAACCTGTAAACGAGATTCAATTGATTATACTGTCTGTTTAAAACATGCTATAGAAGAAGCATGGCCACGATTTGTGAAAGGTATCTTTTTCTTCAAAATTTACAAAATTTTATTAATTCATGCATATATTTTTTAAATAAAAAGTATATGCATTACCTTATACTCATACCATTACATTACTGCAATTAGGAACAGAATATTAATCAACGCGTTAACAGAAAATAAAGTTCTATAAAATTATAAATTGTTTGGATTTTTTTTAAGCAAGTAAGAAAAGTTTAAAATTTTTTTACAATCAAATCAGTATTAAAGCGTAGATGTTAATATTGACTTATTCATTTTGGTAGGACTTCCTGAATTTGACTTCTCACCTTTGGATCCGTTATTTTACAAATACGGCAAAGCTGAATTTAATTCAGACATTCTACATGCAGAAATGAGTATGTCAAATGTTACTGCTAATGGTTTAGCAGAGGCTCATTTTAATGGTGTCAGATCGTACTTTCTTGATGATGTTTTCCATTTAGAAATTGATACACAACTACCAAAACTACTAATAAAAGGTGTAATAAATTTGGCTGGTTCTATAGGTGTATTCAGAACTTTTGGTAAAGGTACGGTAATAAACTATGTATACAGTCTACATAAGCAAAAATACCATTTATTTTATTGGATATAATCTCATTTACGTTCAGAATTAGCCATATTCGTGTATCGAGCAGTAAGTTCTCTCTACAAAGAATGACTATTATCTTTACAATCGTGTTATTAAAATAATTAATCACAATGTTAAACTATGAAACTTCGTAGATTGAATAATATATATGTATAAAGTATAAAAACATTTGTACCTATATATTATTATACATTTAAATCTATTTCTCTACAAAAATATAATATAAAAATGTTTGTCTAATCTTTTACATTTAAATCTGTCTCTATATAATTTATAATTTACTTCTCCACAAAATTCACAATAAGTATATTGTTAAATATATTATGCTGTTTGGTAATTAGGTTTAATTTTTAAAAAATCTTTAAAAAATAGTAACAATTTTTAGAGTTATTATTTTATTTAAAAATTTAATAATATTGCAATTTAATGTATATAACAGGTTCTTTTAATGTAATTGGTGATGATGCTAGAACAACATGGGATTTAACAGGGCATGTAGTAAACGATACATGGATTGTAGAACGTTTCCGTGTAATGCCGTCATTTGGAAAGATTGTAATATATTTCGACAATGTTTTAGAAGACAAAGGGCTTAGTAAGTATTAAATTAATTCAAATATAACTGCATTCTATTGCTAAATGTTGTCAAGATACATCAAATTTACTGAAAGAAGATATATGTACTTATATTTAATATTGTTAAAATATATGTATAAATCCCATTATTTTAATAAAGTATTTTGAAATTATTTAATTAAGAATTAGTAATCTGTATTTCATATACAAAGTTACAAAATTATAGACAAGCGTTAAAACTAATAGAACATAAATAAATTGCTGTGATATACAAATACATATCAACATATTTTATAAATAAGACTTAAATTTTATTTTATCTTTTTAAATTAATGTCAAATCTAAAGAAATTTCGAGATGACTTAATATTATATTACAAATAATAACGCAATAAAATCAGTCACTGATTTAAAAGAAAAGTTTCAAAAATAATAATTTATAAATTTCTTTATAAATTAGTCATATTTTATTACCTTTTGTATCTCAATGTCTATTTATTGTGCCTATTTTTACAAATATAAAACAAATGACATTATCTTGTAACTAAAATTACATTTCTATATTGTCTACTTATATTTAATCTTATATCTATTAATTCGTTTTTTCTAGAATACATTCTTACATTTTTATTTTCAGATGATATAGTCGCAAATTTTATAAATGAATATTGGCCGCCAATATATCGAGTAGTATTACCAACAGCAGCTGATGCATGGGAACCTTGGTTGGTTAATTTTGCCAATAACTTTTTCTCAAAAGTTCCATTCTCAGAAATATTTCCATAAAATATAATTATTATATATGTTAATAAGGTGCCAATTTTTTAGTGCAAATAAAAACACATTCAGCTTTGCAAGAATAATAATTTGTATTTGTTAAAGATATGGTTTGAAGATTCCATCGTTTCAATTTTGTTTTTTAATTACTGTTTGTATAAATAAAAAAAAGTAAATAAATAAATTAAAGTATTAATTTCAATGCAGAATAATTTTTCTCTTGGTTTCTTGTGTATTTCAAAACAACATAGTTAAAAGAATAACCAATATTTTATTGTCAAAATAAAATTAAATACAAGTCACAATAAAATTAATTAATAATAAAATAAAATAAAAAATTTAAGACTCCGTTTAAAGACCGACAAATAATGGGTGCGTAATTTGTGTAAATTAAAAAATGCATATAAATTCACATAAAAATATTATCATATCCATTTTGACTTAAATGGACCATCAATTAACTATATGTGTAACATACACAACATGATGATTATAACAATAATAATAATAATTATTATTATTATTATAAAGAACTAGAGAAGTGGTACTCATCTGAAGATTCGCCCGTGACACTCAAATATAGTACATTGTGTTTTCCTAGCAAACGCCAACCTCAAGTCAGACAAAATCAGTTTTTCTCCTAAATTAAAGGAAATCCTCGATCTCAGCGCGGTTTGTAAGTGGCTGGATATTATAATAAAAATTATTATACACGCCAACATCCATGTCGGCTCGCATTGGCATTACGTAGTTATTGCTGATTTTTTCAATTTTTTCCTTGCACTAGTGATATATTTATTATATTATTAAAAATTGTATATTACACTGAGAAAAATGTCCAATGATTTTGATTGAAAATGACCGTTTAAGTCCTTTTCCGATCATTTTTCGAGCGGAAAATGATTCGGATATAAAATGATCATGATCTTTATCCGATGAAATATAATTTCCGATAAAATGTAGACGGAAAATGAGCCGCCATATATTTATCTGTTAAATTTTCATAAGATAAACCAACAACTAGGTCGGACTTGATTATAATTGAACAGATATTTTATCCGATAATATTTCATTATTTTGCGTTTATTGTTTGTGGATTTCTATGTTGCTGGAAATCTATAATACTGGAAAAATTATGTAGACATATGTACATGTATAATACGCATATATAAAATTTTTCTATAAAAATCCACGAACAAACATAAATAGAGAAATGAGATAGTATATGTATAACCATAAAATCCTATCAAAAAGTTATGTTATAGAAACAATCCAATTTCATTAGATAATAAAAAATTAACCGGTTGCAAATTTCCGATCAAAAAAATATGCGTGAATGCAATTGATCGGATTATCTAACAAAAAAAAATCAACGGATATTTCCTTAATATTCTGTTCAGTATTTTCCGATGAACTTGTGATCGGATTTTTTGTCCGACCAAGTTAATCGTAATTATCCGTTTGTTATTTTTTAGAAGGATAACTCAATATTTTTCAACGGAAAAACTTGGAAATTTTTCTGAGTGTACATAATTTCTGCAATTAGTATATGACATATATTTGCAAAAA